GATTAGAGGAAGCCGATATAACAAAGTTTGAAACGGTTGAAGGGCGCCTTCATTCTGTGTTGACGCCATTTGATTAAAAGCGATAATTTACCCCTCGTTAAAGTTTAATTAGTAGGAGGGGAAATTAGCGCTGTTTGCGCGATTGGATTAACCATTGTTTAGCTTCAGCGTGTACACGATAACGCGTTCCGGTTCCGTAAACTGCATTATTGCCGGTTGGAAAGTGCCGGATACTTAGAGCGAAGCGCAACGTTGAAATTTGTATTCGTAACAATTCAAATTTTAATCTTGCCGCATAATAGCGCGATTCCATGTGTTTCGTACGCTATCGCAAATGGCCCATCTCGACGGTTATTCGCCCTGCCAACGGAAAAACGATGCTCTCCCACGGATTGCGGTATTTAGTATAATAGGCGCGGATAGAAATGTTAGACATTAAACAAAAACATTTAATGCGTCTTGCGAGTGATAAAAATATTCGTATTAAATGAATGGTTTGTTAGTCTCAGTGAACTAGTTATAAAACGATGACTGTTATGTCGCGTTTTATCTATTGAGAGTGTACTGTACACTCGCAAAAGGAATGTAACCGCGCGCCGTTTAATAAACCGATCTCACCTACGGGCAGAGCACTTTCCGGAATTAGGCAACCGTTGCGTGGCTGGGTTCAAAGACATCGTCACTTTTGTACGCTATTAAGCCTTTTCCGGATTCCGAGCTCTCTCTGCGAGAAAGCTCGAAAAGGATCCAATCATTTTACACGTAAACCGTTTTTCCTTGGAAAATTTATCTAAAACCCAAGGTACTCGCTCGTTTGCGCGTTCGTTCGTTCGTCTTGGAGAAATTCTCAAGACGCTTCGACTTTGATATCAAGCTGAATGCAATACTTTTTTCTTTTTAATTTTAACCGTCTGGAGTTTATTCTTTGGGAAATTCTTTAACTAACTGGCAGTTTGTTCTTCGTGTTTCGCGCACATCTGCCTTTATAAAAAGATTTAATCTAACTAAAGCGCTGTGCAGCTTCCAACAAGTTAAAATCTCGCCCTACGTTCACGGTTTTCGAAAAACTTCTCGTTAAATGTAATCCCCCGTAACTTTTATGTACTTTTTTCGAATAGTAAAAAGTTTAATTGGTCTTCCGCCTTACTTGATGGGTGAAATATTATTAGCAACTTTATCGTTAGAAATTAAAATTACGCGAAGCATCTGTGTTTCCGTGTACCGTTGCACATATTATCGTTTATCTTCAATCTCATAAACACCTGTGATACACCTATACATTTACAGTGCAGAAAGTTGTTAGGTAACGAGCTATAGCTGTTATTAATCTAATTTAAACTCAATTTAGACGCGAATCAATAGAAGTATACAAGTCTCTTGTATACCATTCTTGCTGTTGTTTTATGTTCATCAAGAGCAATATTATACGGTACTGTATCCAATTACTCTGTAATAAACGAATATGAAACGTTAAACGTTCACATTTTTCTCATTAACGCGAGTGCAGTCCATCAAGAAAGTTTTAAACATTAATATAGCTGTAGGATATTTTGTGTACGTTTCCACCGAGATAACTGTAAACAGTTTTAACTAATTTTACTGAAAGTTATACACATGTTATATGAAATTCTCGCTTGCACATTCGTAGAATTAACATCGTTCAAAGTACAGGTGACGCATTAAATATCTAAAGATCGTTTTCGATAAATATTTCTTTTCAGTTTGGGTCATGTTACAAGTTATAGAAAACCGTCTCGATCCGATGTTACGTATACCCGAGGAAACGACCGCCTCGACGAAGTAACAGTCGCACACTTTCCATTCGACCTGGAAGTACTTACGTAATCGATAGTAATCGACAGTTGTTTGTTATTACATAGCTCTTAATTACACTTTCGCGTGGTTAACATACGACACTGTCGTACCAAAGTAATAATTTTTAAAAATTTCCTTGCAAAATGTCCATACACCGGTCCAATTTAAAATTCTAATCTTGCGTGAAACTCGGTGCATTTCTATGCACTGCTACATCGTTGCACCGTTGCGCGTTGTCTAACACAAACCGCTATACTGTGTTCGCCATAATATCGTTGGAAGCTACGAAGACGGTGTCCAGTTATCGAAGTAACTAATTCGATAAGAGGAACGATCACGATATAATGTAGAGTATTAGACAAAGTAAAAACGTGAGGTGATGATTAAACACGTTATGAGTTCGATCGCTTATTTCAATCAACGATTTTCCAATCTTGTTCGGTCGGCGTTTCAACAGCAGCGTTCTATTAAGTAAGTAGTAATCGATGTCGACTCGAACTCACGATCGGAATTGCAAATCCTCAAACCGCTTACGATAATTGTGACAGGGATCCTAGGACGAGTCGCCCCATTCTGTAATGAACATTTCCAGCAATAATTCGCCATGTGCGCATTGGGGAATTATTTGACGTAGTCAATAATAAATCGAGCTATAAATTACTGCCAACTGACCACTGATGTCAGATGCGTGTACTTAAAATCACTTTAATATAGACGTGATCAAAATGAAGATTTTTCTATATTTTCCCATAGCTGATTTCTCTAGAGAAACAAAATTACATTCGCAGAATGCGCCCAGCTGTAAATGAATTTAATAATTCTGACAACTTGTTCCATGGCACCACGTTCTCGCACGGTAACTCAGTTTTAGCAGTTCTACGCAAATGCGCATCCGCTGAACTCGTATGTAAACTTAATCATATGCTGGTCCGTATTTGTATGTACGGTGTATAAAATATCAAGCGGGTTTGTACTCGTACATAAATTACTATTATTACAATTCTAAAATTTCTCTATCTGTAAATCTCTCAGCTAAGTTCACCTAAAAAAAAAAAAAAAAATCCATACATTTATCTTTTCTAAATGAGTATACTCCCTTAACAGGATGTATCCATGAAACGCATATATAATATATTGCAATTCGCGATAACACGGAAAACGGAAAACGGGAAGCGGGAAACGGGAAACGGGGAAAATCAACGTTCGATTCGAAAATACGCCGATATCGAAAAAGACGTCACGCAAGTGAGTGGCACACTGCAACGGATTCGTGACGGGAAGTAAACATTGGCATCGATAGAGAGATGAATATCGACATTCCTTGATAACGAACGTCCATCAGAGCGTCGGCGCATCTTTCGCCTCGGCGGCTGCACGTTTTCTTTCAAATTGGACCGATTTTATATTCGCAAACAACAAGTCTATAACTGACATGTTCAGGGGCAGTGCGAACAGGCTGCTGTGCGGCGGAACGCAAGCGTGGGCGTGGAAAAGGATGCACATATTCATAGATGGAAATAAAGCGATAGAGAGAGAAAAGGCTGACGAGAAATTTATAGAGAAGTCTTGCGTCGACCAAATAGAAAGATGAGAGGACTAGCTACCAACCAGACTACCGATGCTTCTGTTTAGAATTATACAACTGTGTGCGCTTGCTATGCGTTTCGTTGTTTAAATGCAAATTAATGATTATTTCGTTTATCTGGAATTCTCCTGCTAGGCGTGGTAAACAAATTCCACGGCATGCCGTTTAATATTTATTCGGAGGAACACTGATATCGTCGTTGACGCGGAACCTACTATTAACGCCTCCTTTTTCTCGCGCGAGCAGCTGCTTTGAACGATTTCACGACCCACGATGCGCGATTCGAATGGAAACGAGAAAGAGTCGAGTCTGTAGCTGACACGATTTGAAATAGAATCTCGTTTAATTTAATTCTCTCTCCGTTTACCCGAAAGAAGCTTTGTTCCGTTTAGACGAATCCAATGTACTCGAATTCTGTTTTAGATTATTCGTCTCCCTATTATATGAACGAGATATTGTTCGTAGAAGGGAGAATCGGTAAAGCTGTGCTACAATAAGCCAGGATGTTATCCAAACTATCTTGTTCCTCGACAAGTTCCAATAAACGGAGTTCTACCGCACTTCCTGCCGCGCGCAGCAATCTCTGCGAAACGAAAACCGGAATAACCCCAATTTAAGACGGTAATGTTATCCTTCGAAGTTCGCTATTAGATATACGTTAGAGACATTTGTGAGTGTATGAACGCGTTACGTTCGAAGTCTTGCTTCATAGCAGCAAACACGAGGGCTCGATTCCATGCAAACTCCGCGATGCTGGCAATCTTGGGAACCGTACCGGTAGTCTCATTTACATGGAGATGTCCCTCAAGTCTGTGAAGCGTCTGTGCACGATCAAGGACCGTCCGTTCCCCGTTTGTCGTCATCAGTTCAACTGTAACAACGACCGCGACACATCGTGTTTAAAAGGGAGACCTGTAGAGAGAACATCTTAAGCCACAGATTGAATTAAACCGGTATACGAAACGACTACACAGCTGCTTACTATACAGTTGACTGTATATTGATAATTAGCGGTCTCCATTCGCGAATGCTACGCGAGGCAAAAAAAAAAACCGTCTCGAGTAATTCGACTATTTTCGTTCGAGAACTCTCGAGAAGTACGTCGCTGTTTCCACTTTGTTACCCGCAAACTTTCGAACGAACGAAGCATCGAAAGTTCCGATCGAATCTCCGAAATCAGAAGTCTCGGTAAAGAGAAAGCGCTCCAGCGAAGAAGCAGTTTGTTTGCGCGTCAGCGGAGCATCGACCTCGGAGAATCAATTTCCTCGTCTTCGCCAGGTACTGGTCGTGCGATCGTTTGGATCTAGCGGTAGATCAGTGTCGGATTAAGATTTTCTAGACCCTGCACATCGTATATTCGCTGCTATCTCTAACTTTACTTGTCCACTTTCTCTCCACCTATCGGTTTCGTGCAACAAACAAGGCTCTCGATGTTTTACTCTTTACTTTTACAAATGAAATGACTATTCGCCTAATCTGTGGAGGTCCTTCAGCTGACGGAGTCGTATTCTCCAGACTTTGTAGCTTAATTCAGCCCTGGGTAGAGTGCAACAGTGGTGGAATGGCACAGCATAACCGACGGAAAGTGGAATGTGCCGTGCAGCGTGGTACTCCTTTCGTTTCCCATCGGTCAGTTGATCAGTATGACTCTACGCAACTGGTACGCGAATCGCGAGCTGCTCCTAACAGGAGTTACCAGTGATGTGGGACGAGCGCTCCTCGAGAAGATCCTACGTTCCTTCCCTGACGTGAAGGTGTACGCTGTAATCAGATCGCGGGACGACGTCAACAAAGACGACAGGATCAAGAAAATATTCTTCTCGCCACGGTATGACCACTTGCTTTCTTTTTTCGTCTAGGATCGATTATTTAAATCGATGTTACGTGAAATTCGTCGAATGATTCTAGATATGTTCGAACTTGCTTTGAATTCTGTTGCGAGAAAATCAGGTTACATTGGTACTATGCGTATGCAAATTCGCTACGTTTAGCCGGGATTCACGGGTTCCCCAATGGCCTGTTTATTACGTGTGTAATATTAATAGTATTTAAATTTGGCGCAGTAAATGAGCACAAACCGATGGTATGCTTTCCGGAAAATTCGTGTGTTTATTTAGTTAATTAATCCGTTTGTCGTCTTTAACGGCGATTGTAAAGGAAGACATGATGCTGCAATGCATATTAACTGATCTCTATTCCTTTCAGTTATGCATTGGAAATTAGAGAATGTTTTCAAAGATTACGCGTGCTATCCATTCGTTAATCCGTTCGTCAAGTCCGTAGAAGTAAATTAAAATTTAAAAATTGGTGTTTCGCTTAACCATATATTTTTGAAATTCGTATTAGGGTTAAAGTGTAAGTTATTTCCTCTATGATGGTTTCATCTAGATATGTTGGTTGCGAATAATATCGGGCCGTGGTAATCAGCATTGCATATTACGTTGCGTATTCGTTAGACATCGCGTCTGAGTTTAATCAACCATTCGTTAGATGGTGCGGTGTTCCATTCTAATCAAGGGTTCATTAGACGCAACGGCGCGTGCGGATGAGCTTTTCGTTAGACATTCGACGGTTGCCGCGGGTTTCGCGTCAATTTATTATTATAACATTATTTCCGAAATTAATTATCAAAGCAAGCTTCGCGAACTCTTCATTGCTCCCCTTCGTAGGAACGCATCCATTTTTAACGTTTTGATTGGAAATCATGATAGGATAACGCGAAAAAAGTACGGGCATAGCATATTTTCGCGCGTAGACGTATAAATTGGATCGCAGCGTTACGTGATCGTCCAACGTAACGAACCCGGGTTGCATCGTAAGACACGCGAGGCAAAACTCGACGGTGGCTACGAGGGGATGAGTATTTCCAGCGGCGGGGAAATTTATTTTCATTAGCATGCTTTCCTCGTCGACGTCCTTTCGGCGCGATTATAAAGCGCGTTCCGTACCGCCGCGCCGTGAGATCTTCCGTTTACGAGCTCGACGAAAATTCGTCGACGCGTTTTAAATTTCACGAAATTAAAATCCGCGAACGGACGGTCCCCGGAGAAATTTCATCGTTTGATTTGCGTGTTAAACTTGGTACGATTTAAATCTATGCGTGGACGTGTGGATAATCGCAACCTTTATATTATTATTATAAAATACTGTATAAAGAGAAGCAGTGTTCAGCGTAAAAACACTTTCCACTGGAGTCGTATTGGGTCACAGACGGCCGTCGTAAGGCAAAATTACGCGAGGCTGTCCACTTTCTACTTATTCATAATATAACCCATTCCCCCCAATCGAGACTGTTGCTCCTTTCTCTCCGCGGTGAGAAGAGTTCGTGGCTGTTTCCACTGTTACGACAATATAAACAGCGTAAACGTTACACGATTATTGCATTCCATTAACTCCACAATGCAATCACTTGCAGTTTACATTACGATATGTATTTTCCAGCCAGTATTTTATCTCTTTGCTACAGATACGAGAGACTAAGACAGGAGGAACCAAACGCGATTTCTCGCGTGAAGGCGTTGGAGGGTAATTTGCTGTTTGATGATCTTGGTTTGTCCGAGGAAGACAAGGATTCGTTGCGGAATGTCAGCGTGGTGTTTCACGCGGCTGGTCCTCACGACGCCGTGTTTGAGTTTTGTCAGGAGTTGCCTCAGCTAGAGACAGTGGCAGCAGTTTCGAGTATCTTTCGTCACAAGGGTCAAATCGCCGAGACGTTGCAGAACGAACGAGTGCCTGACATACCGCTGGCTCTAGTTAGAGTGCCTTTGGTTGGACCACCATATCGAGAGCCTATGCCAGGCTTTGTCGACGTCTTCAACGGATCGACAGCTTTCGTAGTAGGCTCGGGACTCGCCCTGGGCAAGTCTGAGTTTCAAGCGGAAATCATTCCAATCGACCTGACGGTCAACACCCTCATCGCGGTTGCTTGGGAACGAGGCATCGCGTAAGTACTCTATTCCTCCTCCCTACTACTCCCCGCCATACACGATCAAACTTCTCCGTTAATGCGATACGATTCGGGTTAAATGTTCTTACGCGAGTAGAACGTATCGACTTCTAACTCAAGAAATTTCACGGACGACAAACTCGTCGTTGAATAGATCCGAATGGTCATCGAACGACGAAGACGATTGTATTTCATCGTGATAGGAATTCGAGGTTTACCTCGAGTGTTTTGGAAAACTGGCCTTTCCTCCGGACACTTAGATTAAATACACTTTCTCGGCTGTTGGATTCTATTTTATCTATTTATCTGGCACACAAATAGAGAAAGTTAACCGATGCGAGAGAAAACGGTATTTTAACAGCACACACGCATCATGATCGACGGGAGAAAAAATCGTTAGTTTCGAGCGTATCTTTGAAGAATGTTGTAAAAATATTACGAAACGTTATGGCAGTTCTTCTGCGGACCGTTTAAATGATTGAGACGGATTATAAAACTTTGCAATTAAAGTCTACATCAAACGATCGCAATTTCGTTTCACGAGGGCGTGCGGGTCTTTTTTGCGTGTACTAGCAAAAGTTAACAATTCGGAGCGCGCAACGTTTGGAGCAACGAGTAGTGGCGGTGGAAAGTCGTATTAAGGCGGTTTACCGGTTCGAATAGCTCTGGATATCGTTCTACGAGGTATTACGCACGGGAACTGATACCATTCTGCAGATTATGTGGTAACAGAGGAAGATAAAGCGTGTTTACAGTTGTACCTTTAACCTTTTACGGGGAAGGATCGATGTATTCAACGCATAGGTATGTATAAATATATAAGCGCACACATTTTACCGGATGAGTCCACCTAGAGATAATCTCGCTCGTAGATTATCGCAGGGTTTCGAGTGAAATAAATTAGAATTAAAACATTTCGCCTATCATTACGAAAGAAAGATAGTAATTAAAAAATTCGCCGCGCGCAGATAATTATTTTGCAGTTCGTTACACGATGATTTAGAAAAGAAATCGAGTTGGGGAAAAATGAAAATGCAAATTGTTTCGTCCGTGCGGTGGAGCGTTTGAAATGTACGACCACTTTTATGCAACTCTAAAATGAAATCGGACGATAATATGACGGTAATAATGAAAGAACGTATCATTGTTCCGCTGCTCTGCCCGGCGACAACTCCGTTTTTTAAAGGCGAGCCGGCTATGGCTGGAGGTAGAACATAACGGCCATGATGAGTTTTAAATTCGTCGCATTCCCCTCGCTGTGGGGATGTTCGTGTCGGAGAATATACCCTTTAAACGGCCAACTTTTATTTACATCGATCACGAAACGAGTAAATGATACGCGCGATGTGTGTTACCGAACTCTTGGTAATAGCCTTGCGTTTTTATCGATTAATACAAGCAAAGCACTGTCGACGATCTTTGTTATTTCAAATCGAATCTCACGATCTCATTTTCTTGTTTAATTCATGGAAAATACTTTTTTCGACTATCGTCGAATTGTTCTCTTGATATAATATTTCCAGATTTACGGTCTTCTTTTTGTCACAGGAAAAACGTGGATAGACCTGTAGTATATAACGCTGCAACGATCGGATGCACATGGGGCGAGCTGATCAAGAAGGGTAGACGAGGCAACCGAAAGTTTACATACCCGACTTTTGGATTTCGTGGAATGACGTCCGTAGCAGCTCTCCATTGGGTTCTGGTGCTCCTTTTCGAATGGTTGCCATCCACGCTCTGCGACACGGTTCTCGGCCTGTTTGGAATGAAGAAAAGGTATAACGAACTGGAAATTTACGATATCCGGGTGGTGATGTGGGTCCATGCATTGTTAAGCAAAAACAATTTCTTATACGAGAGCCCTAGTAAGCACATATTCCAATTGTTGCGTATCGACCTTTGTTGTGGATCCTTGTCGAATAAACATTCTAAGAATAAAACATAATTAGGCGAGTAGAGTACAGTGAGAGATTATTGTAACTAATCGATATAGGTAAATGCTTCTACGGTAATATGAAAATGAATGACAAAGCTCCACGAGGCTATACGAAAGCAATTCTCGGGAAAGAATTCGCGAGTGCAGGAGCTGAGTTATCTAACGCGAGCCAGCGTGGGAAGGAGAAATCCACGGGCCAAGTTTTCAGGAAAGAACCATCGAAGAAGGTTTTCAGAAAAGTTTGATCACAGTGTTCGCGGAGGAGCAAGGGATGCACTCCGCGGAAGCCGAGGCTGAGAACGGGACGCGGCACACTTGGCAAATGCGATGCAATCGTAAAAAAGTAAAAGTTATCTCGAACTACGATTTAGCCGAATACCAAAGTAAACAGGTTTTCCGCGGTATTCGAACAGACAGATGGAAGGAAGAAAAGAACGCGAGGGCCGAGTAAAAGAAAGCAAAAGGACGAATAGCCGTAAGAAAACTCGCTTCCTTGCGCGAGATTCGCGGGTTCGCTCTCCGATTTTAAAAATCGCGAATTTTGTTTAAAGCCGAGAAAACTTCACGAAAACCCGCGATAGCTCTCGCTTTCTTTTTTTTGCTCCCTCTCTCATTAAGATACAAGTCACGACAAAAGTATAGCACACGCCACGATTTTGTACGGATCGAAGAAAATTGTAACCGCGTGTGCGTTTTGCTCGTAGACGTTGAGCACAGTGATCTCCAATTTGTACATTCCAAGAAATATCGACGAAATGTGTACTAATTATTCGAATAAATTATTTTGAAAATATAATTCAACTGAAGTTATAGTGTGTGCTATCTTATTGTTGGGGATTGTACCTTTACCTTTTTTGCCTATCAATCGTTAATGGTAATTTCTTTGTAAAGTCAGTTTCACATCTCTTCGGAAAATTGTAAATTCGTCCCAGTCAGCTTATCAACGTTACGTCATACAAGTTTCTCATCGATGCACTCTTTGCATATACGTTAGTTTATAGCCCGACATATAAAGTAGTTTTCAATTGTAATTCTTGACGTAGGTACGCATTGAATTCGTCCTGCTAAGGGAATGGTATTAACGAGAGGCCTCGTCCTTTATTTCATGAAATTAAATGAGAAGAATAGAGAATATGAAGAAAGAGTTCGAAGAGAACACAAGGGACTCGTTAACGAAGGCTAATGAAATTTTAATTAGCTGGAATTGACGAGAATCGATTCCAAAGAGCTGAACCTTGAAACGATCGCAACTCGATAACTGCAGCTTTCCCGCGCTTTCGAGTCACGTTCTCGTTTCAGCTGTCTTACGTTCGAAATCGTGAGGTAGCATCTTGTGACCGCGGTAAATACGTGAATATATATATAATGAAACGAGCTGGAGAAAAACCAGACCAAAAATGGGAGAAATGCGATCGAAAGAAATGGATGCGAATCAAGGAGTTAGGAGTAACAGTTGGAGCGAGTACGGCATTAGGAGAGCAAAGGAGAGATCGGTTGCGATGGTAAAAACATTTGCTTCTTCGCAGGCTTCTACAAGAGCACGAGAGAGTTCGTAATGCACTTCGATCCCTCGAGTCAATTTCATCGAGGCCGTGGTCAGCAGAGAGGAACCGTGTGTACCAGCTTCAGCGACATCTCACCTCAGAAGACCAAGATGCATTTCCGGTTACCGCGGAAATCGACATCGAGAATTACGTTCTCTGCGCTGCAGCTGCCACCAGGAAGCATTGCGTGGGCGAGGCCAATGTCAGACTCCTAAGAGCCATTCGACTGTTCTTCTTCTTCGTTGTTACTCTTGTTCTCTTCTACGTCGTCTTTTTCTACAGACATCAGATGCCCGTGAAACAACGTGGACTGTAAGCGAATTCCAAGTTCGAAAGAATCGTTATTGTTATACTAAACTCTGAAGGTCGCTTAATCCTTGCGTTTAAATAGGAATAATTAAAACACGTTAATTTGACCTTAGTTGCGCCCCTATCTTGCAATAAGAAACGTGAGTTTATGTCACCTAAACGAAGAATTCGTAAAATGTGAATGAAAACCCAATCCACCTAACGAATTCTTCGACTAAAAGTGCATTTCCAGCGAAACCAGTGTTTCCACAAAATCGACAAGAAAAACTCTGCCAGCGGTCGCGAGTTGGCTTAGTAAAACGCAAAGTAATTTCCTCTCGAGGAAGTTCAGCTTTTGTGAAAAGAAAACATCATTTAGAAACGGAAGTCCGATTTCTTTTTCTTCCCCTACCTTAGTTGAAACCCTGCCCCCTAAATATAACCGTATAATAACGCTAGGATCAAACGAGTTAATTTGAATGTTATTCTTACGGACCACGGACAACGGTATTGCTAAGGCTGCTGGCCGAATAATTGAACGAAAAGTTTGCATAGGAGTGGAAGCGGGAACGTCGTTTCATTGCTTCGCTTTCTGCCTTCTTTTTCCTCGATCAATTATGCATTTTAAAAAGAAGACTCGAACGCGTCGCTTTAATTCGTTCCGGTTGACGTCCGCCCAGACACTCGGTATAACATTCCTGAACGTTTATACCGATTCCTCGTAAATTTTGCTCTCCTTGGATTCTCTTATGTAGTTTTTGCTAAGTCTCCGGTACACCTTGAATTAAAGCTCTAGATCTACGACACTTTGTCCGACTTTAAAGACAAATGATTGTTCGCAAGAAACGTAAAATTGGAAAGAACTTCCGGCTATCTCTACGGGCAAGATGCTTCCGTAATTTTCAAATACGGAGACAGGAGCAGTTTTAATTTCAAGCGTTTATCCTTGTCACAGGGATAGCTCGCAGACACTCGTCCTGTCTCTAACGGTAAGAACCGTGCAATAGGACGCGATTGATCGATATTAACGGAATGGTATAGAACAAAATTATTTTGCACCGCCCAGAAACTGCAGTCCGATCGATACAAAAAGGAACTAAAAATAGCGTAGCGAATTTAGGAAGAAAATTAGGTGAATCCGCAAATACCAGAGAGCCGATTCAACAATCGATGGCAAGAGGTCGTACGGAAACATATTTGACGAATACGTTGGTATTCAAAGTATCGAATGTATAAATATGACTGCAGTCGAGCGGAGTGCATGGCAAATATTCGTGAGAATCGTGCAAGCCGCCTATACACGAGAGAATGCTATTCTGGTGAAAGTTTGTAGCAGAACATCCTCTTGCCTTCGCGCTGAGCCAAGAAACATATATCTCTAGCGTGTTTCCCCTTACGTAACGCGTTACACCGCGCTGCGTTTATCGAATTCGTCGATCCCGCTGTCTTCAAAAATACCAAACGAACTTGTCTTGGTTGGTAAATGAGTTTCGAATCTCTCCACGGATACATCGATGACTTTGCGACGCTTGGAATGCTTACTTCGAGAACTTTACCATTTGACGAGATCCACTCCTTTGATGCTACCGCTACGAAAGTCTTGCGTTGCAATGTGATACCAAAAATATTTGTTCTCGTTACTTAGTCGTTTAGAGAACATTTCTTTAAAGATAAATATAGAATTAATACACGATAAGGCAAAAAGTAGGAAAAACATTAAAAGTAATTACCTATCCAATGGTTAGAATGGTGCCACGTAATCCGTTGTTGAACGGTCTAGTATGATCGGTACCGTAGAATCGAGCAAGGTTACATATTAATCATAAAGGATGGCAGTCCTTAATATTCCCATCAACGTAACCAAGAAGCAATAACCAAGATCGTTTCGCGCGGCCCTTTTCCCAACAGAAACTTGGTTCGCGTGACTGCACATAGCGGAAGGCGCGGCGGTGAGTTATGCTTTTAAAATCCTGTTACCAGTTGCGAGCGCGAAATTTAACAAAGAAACTTACAGATTAGTTCCGCGAGATATAATTGGACGCGGTGGCTGGAACTGTGCCCCTGTAATAATAATTGCGGGACGTCTGTTCTACGAAACGAACTTCCAGGAGCTGGCTGGCTGCGTAACAGAGGAACAGGAACAGCGTGAGACGTGAGAAAGGGAGACCAAAATATGAAGAGGAATAAGGGAAATATGGGGCGAAGAAGGGCGAGGAAGACGGACGGATCAAAAGGCACGAAAAGCTTGAAAAATGATGGAATGAAAAGGACGTTGGTGAAAGTATGTATTCAATTTCATTGCAACTGGAATGAATAAGATGTATACATATATATTTACGTATACGAATTGCATCTCCGGAAAAGTGGCTTACCCTGACTCGCCTGCAACGACAAAATCCCACGTTCCAGCAAAGGAACATCAAAGCAGCCCCGGCAAATCCATTCAGCTCGCTTTATTTCCATAGAAATATTTTAGCGAGCGTAGCGAGCGTTAACCGCGTCCGTTTCTTGAACCATGCGCATCCTGTCGATCAACTTCTCCCGTGTTTCTCGGATGAACGCGTCGCTTATTCAATTTCTTTCTCACGGGATTCCGCGTAGGAATAACACGCGGCTACGGTGATTCGACGAAAAACGATTTTTCCGATCTTCCCGGTCTTATCTTCGACACCGTGACTTTTGTTCGCCTATCGGATCCAAGCTGGAAATTATCATAACTCCGTTCGAAATATTCAGCCTAACCTCGATACGGACCAGCGCACCGCGAATCGCTACCCGACTTTTATTCGTTTTCGAAGATTGAACACGTGCAGTGTCTGCACCAGCGGACGATGGTTTTTGTACATCGAAATGTTTAGAGTAGACAAACAGTAGGATCGTCGCGATCCACGCCCGTTACCTTTTCAGATTAAACGCTTCCGTGGCGAGAGCTATTCCTAGAAGAGGCGCCGGATAGTCCGGACAGAGCCGTTATTCCCTGGACTTTAAAAGGTACAATGGACAAGTCCTACAGACCAAGGGGAGATTTGCCAAGAGTCGACTCGAACCGAAGAATAAGAACTCAGCCTTTTTGTCGTCCTTTCTTCGACAAGCCTTTTCCATTGGTTGACCCGTTTCGGTATCTCCAGGACGACGCAGCCCACTTTGGCCACGCCGCTATTAATTGGAACAAGCTGAAGCTACGTGTCTCTATTATTTGCGATACCCGTTTCACGTGATCCCACGACACGGCAGACCACTTTGTTTCCTCTTCCGCCGTTCCTTCAACGTTCTCGAGGAAACAGTATCGCCGCTGACACGATTAATCTACCAATTACAATGGAACAGCCAACCAATTCGGAACGGCGCCGGCGCGGGCACGACCGCGGCATTTGGTAATCGCTTCCTCGTTACTCGCAAGAAATCGGATCACAAACAAAGCAGAGGAACAATACACGTGCACAGAATCTCCGTGTATTGTCAAACTCAGTTATCTCAAAAAGAAAATGTCGGAAAACGTTTAGGTAACGCAGTGTATGAACCAAAGTTACTCTCGAAAACACATTTTCTCCAAGTTCTCGGACAAATTCTCCGTTCATTTCGACTTTAATAGACGTTAAATCTCTCGTGTCTCGGGACTTCAGGGATGGAAACAAAGACGAAGGTATCCGACAGAGACTTAGCCGCGAGCTACCTCGAGAACATGCTCCGAGTATCGGCGTTATCTTGCCGATCTGCTGAATTAATAGCGTCGAAGATCTTATCGAAATTAACGCAACGAGCTCGCCAACTTCAAAGATCCCGTTAATGTTTTTGCTCTAGAACTCTCTTTCGAGATTCTCGATACCTTTAGCGACTCGAGATCTCCAAGTGGAGAGTTTCGCGACCCCGTTTAATTAAGATCCGTAGGCACTGCGAGGCATAGAGGATAGATACCCGTTAGTTGTAACGCAGGTATACTGAATTTTTAAAAACCCTACCGTACAGAGAATATATTTTCATATTCTGAATGACTGTTGCGCAAAAAATATTATTGTACGACGCTTTTCACGCAAGTTTCTTCGCGTTCTCTATTTAACAACGAGGTAAACGAAGGTGGACGTAACGAAGAAATGCAGCGAGAAACGTAGAAGGCCAGAAAAATGGAACATGATCCCCCATGCAGAAGCAAAAGAAGACAAAGCGGATAAAAAGCTCGCATGAATACGAATGTAGGAACTGTTACGGAAAAAGCAGTGCGTTTGCGACCGTACGCCTCTCCGGAACAGAGCTTCTCAACTTGCGGTAGAGGATTTGGAGTATTTGCAACGTATATCGCTTTCTTGCGCGTTTATCGACAATCGAGCTACTAGATTTATCTTCGAAAAAGTTATACAAATAAAATTCTACAATTTCATTTCTTCATCTCGCGTTGGTATACGTAATATCCTCGATTTGACCTCTTGGTCCACGAACTTCAAAATATTTGCTATTTGGTCCATCTTGGAAAAAGATTGCCGATCCCTGGGCTATTCCTGGATTCCGAATCGATTTCGAAAACGCATTCCAGTTGAGACGACTTGGGAAACAGCGTTATCATTGAAAGAGTCCGCACTTGTCGCACAGGAAAAGCGAATAGACACGACCGCAACCAAGGCACGCGAGCGTGTATGCAAAGGTAAACCGCGAGAGGGTTGAGGCGTATGAAAGAGTAATGCAGCCACTACTCTCAACCGAAGGAGGGAACAGCAGGAGGAGGAGGAGAATGCCGAGGGTGAGAGTGGAAGGGTATGGAGGGGTGGCGCATAAGTTATAGGTGGCATTGTGTAAGACCCTCGGGCAAAGTTGCGCGAAACCGAAGAGGGTGCAGGCTGCAGACTCCTCCAGCAACTAAGCAGCTTTTCCCATTCCGGAACGTGCCGCGTGCGAGCCACGGACGCGTCAGTTAATCTACACCCTCCCCGCGTTAAGCTAAGCTTTTTTACTGGTCTCTTTTCCTCTTTCGTTATCCAGACGACGGCTGTCAACGAGAACACCGTTTGCATTCGCTCCCTCTTTCTCCGTCGAGTCGCTCTGAAGCCGCTATACCTTAATTGAAAATCCTGCTTTACGCGGTTGGACTCAATGGCCAAGACAGAGTTTCGCTCCTCCTGCCTTTTGCTATCTAAGTTTTTATCAAGACGATGCAAAAGGGAGAAAAGTATCGCGATCGAAACAAAAATCAGTACTTGTTTCACTATATGTTAACTTGGTCCACGCATAGCTATCGTTAACCTACGAGTAAATGATTGGAAAAATAACATTTACATTAAGCGTGAACCGTTTCGGAGTTCTGTAGACGGGAGTTATAACTACGGCTGCTGGCCAAACTTTCTCACGCAGTGACTCCGAATTCTGGTATACTCAGCGTTAAACAGACGATCTTGGGTGAATAAACAGTGCTCTACTTCGGTTGAACTTGCGAAGTAGCGGGTAGGTATGCTGCTCAGATTTCGAATAATCCGAGGTTCAACGACGATGATCTCTTAGACGCTGAAGCACGCTAGCAAACGTTTTCTGCATAATTAATAAGATTATATAAACTTTGATTTCGCGGTGTAATTAAGGGCTCCGTTGGAAATACTATACTTCTCCGATGCAACGTTACTCGTAGAACCGTCTTCCAACTGTAATCACCGTGGAAACTCGTTGAAACGATACGAAATACTTGATACCAAGAAAAACAAAACAACCGATTAAACGTGTCCGAAAATTAATTCATCTGCAACTTCTAGACGAGGTCGGAAAGGGAGTGCGCGGAATAACCGCATTACGGAGGAAGTTTCTGTGCTCGCGGTGTACACCGGCAAACTTCGTACATGCGGCGGGCATCGTGAAATCACGAGTTACACCCGGCAATTACGAGCACTGCGGGGCGAATAATTATTATTATTGTCTGCCGTATTATCCGAACGGGTCGTCGAGAAGCTGGGAAGCGTTGCGTCGCTTCCAACGATCCTTGCTCCGTATAGGTACAAGATACTCTGTTAAACAAGACGTTGTTTCTCTCCTATTCTTTACCTATTCGAATACTTGTTCTCGATGCTCGTGCATACATGTTTTCCCATCGACGAAAGGCTAAGACGAAACGTGCCTACGGTATTCTCTGTACCAAAGTTACTCGTTACCGAATCATGGAATACGAGATCGCCGAAAATACTTGACTGTTTTCTTTTGTCTCAATTTAAGGTTCTCGTACGCGTGCGACCCATGTCGAACAGTTGAATCACCCATTCTCCTTCAGGTCTGGACAAAAGACATTCCAAAAGTATGGGTGAAACGCTGTGCAAGGATCGTTCGATCGGTAACATCTTTTCATCGATCGAGAGTACAAAACGGTTTGCCAAAGACAGCCCCAGTACCGTGAACGTATCGAACGATTAACGAGCGGCAGTCGAGTCGTTGAGCGGAGAAATAACAGCGACGAGAAGATGTCTCTGCGCGTTCGAGCAAGCAATTTCATACCTAAAAGCATCTCGGTAAAATTTTTTTTTATTTTCAGATAGCGCGGGGCTGTAGTTCTTTTCGCGAAAACCCCGTCGATGCGGCACGAGTATCGAAGCGGCAAGAAAAAACAAGCAAAACAAGTTTCGGAACGTCAATGCGTCCTTTATACTCGCTGCTTTTCATTTCTTTTCCATATAACACTACTACGAATAGTGTAAAACCGTTGCCAACCGAGTGCATCTTTCTGCGTGCATCAAAATGGAAGAACACATATCCAGAATCGAGGTGTAACGAACGCCTGACGCGACTATGTACCGCGTGCTTATACACGCGAGATGGTAATTCATTCGGAGAAGGAATAAAAAAATCGCCATTTTTCCCTGGAAAAATATTACTTCGCGCATCTAAAATGTGAGAGTATATTGCTTGGTAACGACGAGAGATATCTGTGAAATTCATATTTTTATTTGAAAGAACGTAACTAGACATTTTACATCTTCTTTGTTTATAAATGTATTCCGTGAATAAATTCGGTCCGTCGATGAGCAAGGAGGAACCTACGCTAATTTGGCCAAAGGAAGGAAAGTCAAGGGAGGCGCAAGGGTAGGCTCCAATTTCTATATGTGTTTGCCCAGCTTCGCGGAGCGTCTCGTTACGCGGAACGACGCTTGGCTTCGCGCTTTTCGTGCTTATGTACACATTTACAGGCCAGTGTTTATGTATCATTTATGCGGCGCACCAGCCGTGGAAAAGCCGTCTTTTCGCCTAGACGGGAACACGGTCTCTGGCAACGCGACGAGTGCGCGTGTCCCCTTCCGATAACGTTTGAATTATCAACTAACCCTGCTTCGTCACAACCGTCTCCAGAACCATCCCTGATATCGACGCGCTCGACTTCGCCTACAGATTTTGCTACAATCCTCAAAGCAGTTCTTTTTCTCTGTTTACTTTGTCGATTATTCGCGCGATGAATGTATGTATTATAAGAAAATTATATTTCGTTGCGAATTATTTCATTGGATATTACCGAGCATAAGAAATACTATACTTGTCCGCGGTACAATACTAAATTAAACAGGAAGCGAATATAATTAACTCGCTCGATGCGCGATATTACGATGAAGGAAAACAGAGAGAAGTACGCGACCATTAAGTGATCCGGTCTCAAAATGCAAATTCAGGCGGGGGAGGAGTACAGCAGCGTTCGTTACCGTTAATCTGTCGAAGCGGAACGTAAAACGGAACGTAGCGTTCTCGTTAAAATGCGCTCAATCCGTAGTCAAGCTGGCAGGTAGCAAGGTGAGCGAAATTAATTTCCGCTCGGAGATGAAACAGAAGCTGTCGTTTAATTCGCACCTTGATATCAATGCCGCTACTAACGGTTCATCGGACCTGACATTTCAGCAGCGTACATTCCAATTCGTCCCGTTACCTTGCGATGCAAGCTTTCCGAATCGTTCTTGAACCTATCACGTTAATTTTTTCATGCTAAATTTTAATATTAACGTGTTTATTAGTCGAATAGTTGATTGATCCATATAATTCGGTTTTTTTCTCTCCTCTGGTTCGTATGCGGTCTAGATTGCTGAAATTTTTTTTATTTTCGAACAACCAAACAATTTCATTCATTCCTCGATGTCCACGATCTCGTTAATGTTTCGAGGTTACCTCGATTGAACCGAGCGCTGTCCATTTCTCCTCATTCGTATCGAGCATCCTTTCCCATTTTTTAACGAGATCATTTCATTCCGTAGGAATCGCGTTCGAAGTACGGCCATGCATCGCGTGCATCGAATTTCGATACGATAATATTCCTACTGCCGAATGCTGCTCGTTAAAGAGCCGCTTAATAATTCAACGGAGTGGAAGAAGCGGAAAGGAGGCGGCACGCCCACTTTTCGCGAGACGATACCCGGCACTGGGCCACTTAATTCGACGCTATTTTCTCTCGATATCGATTTTTCTTTTCTGTTCACCCTTTTCCTCCATTACACGTTGCTAATCTTTCGGACTGCAGAAAGGTATGATAATTATTATGGCACCTTGAGTACGTAGTATAAATTAAGCAATTTTCCTGTGCAAAAGTCGATTACACCACTCTTCTCGTTCACAGAATAGTTTGATACTTTTATCTTGTCGAATACGTTGTTGTCCAGTACGTACAATACTAACATGTATACATGTATGCAGGGAAGTTACTTCCCTGTCGTTGACTCGCTTGAAATCTGTTCACCGTTAAAATTAACCGAGAGGCTCATATTTCACTGTTCGTTTGCTTTTCAAAGTGGCGTTTAGAAGAAGTTTCACTGCAACAGCCCCGGAGTCGGTTCTCCTCCCAAACTGTCTCCTGAGAAGTTGCTTCATTTATAACTGGCGCAAGTTAAACAGCCTGTGTAACACGGTTCACGGTGTAATCCATTAGCCGTAACATTTTCTTCTCGAATAGTCTTGAATATTTATGTTGTTCCGTTGACAAATATTTCTATTATCCTTCTATTAGGCAATTTTAAACATTGCTGCCAGTCCTTTGCAACTCGTAAAGTTACACAAATTCTGAAAAAAAATTGTTTTTTTTTGGAATCCTTAAGTTCCCGATATCGCAGAGACAACCGACACCATCGTAAGTGTTAATCGAATACAAAAGTTCCAAGCTTGATGAATTTTAATATAGCAATCAAAAGTTTCGGTTCTGGTCTAACCACTTTCCGAAGCCAGAAGGGCGTAAGCACCTAGGGGCTTTATCGTCGTTATAACATCAAACGAGATAATCAATTCGGGATTTCGTCGGTTACATGCCTTTAGAATATTTTTATCGTTAGCCCGCGTGGCGAATATTAAAGTTAAATTGTTTATCAAAAGCGACTCCACGAAATAAATGTAATCCCTCTCGAGCCACGCGAAAATCGCGTCATAAAT